CCAGTGACTATTGGAGTGTTGTCAATTTCAGTCTACAGGTTTTAAAACTGTGAATTTAGTACCGTAACTATTCAATTTTTTTCAATTTCAGTCCATCCGGCCAAATTGTCGACGAAAAAGTGACTGAAAAATTTTAATGGTAAAATAATGAGGGCATTTTGGTCTTTTTCTCATATTCTCGTCTTTTCTGTCTGTTGCGTCCACTGCTACGGCAGCAGCTATCACCCATGGTCTGCCGCCGTTTTCATTATCGTAAAGTTGCACGGCGAATATGAGCCCGTCAGGGCACTTCCTCTCTAGTTCCTCCCTTAGCACCGCCCATCCGTCCGCCATGGCTTTCTCCGCCTTGAAACGGGCCTTGCCTTCGCCGGCGTACACCTCCACCACCAACACCTCTTAGTTCCCGACGATCTCCTCCACTAACCCTTTCATCCACTGCTCCAGCTCCGCCAGATTCATGTCCCTCCTCGGCTAATCCGAACTTTGGTGAATGAGCTGGTGACTGCACAGAGGAGATACTGTGAAAACACGGTGGCGCCTGTAACGACGCTGGCTTTCCTCACCGGAGACCGCGAACACTGTGAGGAAAGGGTTGGATTGGGATTTGGAAGGATTGAAGTCTGGGAAAGAATGAGTTTTTGCAGAGTGGAACTTTAAGGACGCCATTGTTGAGGAATATTTGAAAGTGATACGAGAATGGATCAAATGGAGCAATGAGAGATGTTTTTCCCCTGCTTTGGGTTTGCCGAAGCTCTGCCGCTGCTGCTGATTTAAACTGTAACATTTCCAGCGTAGAAGATAATTAAACAGAGAAGAAGATAATAGAAGCAAAAGACCAAAATTTCCTCATTATTTTACCATTAAAATTTTTCAGCCACTTTTCGTCGACAATTTGGCCGGATGAACTGAAATTTAGAAAAATTGAATAGTTACGTTATTAAATTGACAGTTTTGGAAGTTGTGGACTAAAATTGACAACACCTCAATATTCATTGGACCAAAAGTGAAATTAACTCCTTCTTAATACATACTTGTGAAGCAAATCAGTCCATTACATACTAGAAGGGTAATAAGGGTTATGATTAGTAAGAACCTACGAAATTCCATAAGTTAGAGGAGGAAAATCAAGAAAAAGTTGTAGGAACCGTTGGTAGGAAAACAAATAATAATCAAATAAAATTGACAATTATTTTCTGGAAAGAAGGGAAGAAAAGATGAAGAAATTTGGCTAGTGTTTGGTGTTGGGTTTTTGCAAGAGTCAAGTGAGCACTCTTTCCTTAAAACCTTATTTGCCACCTCCCAAAGATGCTAGGAGCGTTGTGGCCTAGGCTTCCCAGGATAAAACTTGCTAGTGATTCAATCTTTGAGCACTCAAACAAGGAATCCGGCGAGCAAGACACGACTATGAACACAGGAGGCTAAAGAAGGAGTAGAAGCAGAGAGGTTTTGAGGCTAAAAAGAAGAACTTTCGTGTTCTATATCTATATGTAAAACTCTACTGCCTCTACCCTCTCTTATATAGGGTTGAAGGAGCCAATAGCCTTTATTATGGCAATTAAAAAATGACATTAAAGCTGCCTTCCAACAGCTATAACAGCAGGCCACTACCTGGGAATTGAATTCAGAATTCAAAATTGGAGTTAATAGGATATTAATTCCGTAACAGATGAATTCAATCCCCATAACAGTCAGAACTTTCGGGTTCCAGACCGTTGTCGTACATTCTCAACTTTCGACCTTACCCAGTTTCGGCCCTTGCACCTTTCGTGGTCTCTGTTGCACGGGAGTTGTGCTCTCGGTGCACCACAACCTCTCATGCTCTCTTGTAGCACGAGAATGGTGCTCTCGGTTTCGACCGAGGCAAGTGACTATATCAGTTGGAAAATGATACCGAAGTTTGACATAACTTAGCCCGCAAGGCCAGCCAATTTCTGGACGACATTCGTGCCTCCAGGTGCCGCCGCACACGAGCTCGGGCTTGAATCAAGCCTTTTTCCAATCTCGTCTAGTTGGAATTTGATTTGCACCCCCGCACCCCCACCGCGCGAGAGAGCCTCTATGCTATACAATTCTACAAGCTTCAAAAGAGCTCTTGTATATAAGGGGGGAAAATCTTCATTCCAAAGCAATATGGGACAAAAAGCTCTCTTTTTCCCTTCATTTTCCAACTCAAATGAGTCTACTTTGAGAATCAATATCTCATTCACCCATTATCTGTTTTGAGCGTACAATATATCAATCTCTTCATCTCACTACGAAGAACCCGAATCCACTTTGACCTGACCCAAATTGGAAGTGGACCCCATTGATAATTGTACCACAAAATAGCCACTTAACATGCCATTTTAAGCTATTTTTTTCAACAAGCCCCCACATAAATGAAAAATTGATTTTCGGGGTATTTTGAAATCGGAAACAACTGTGTTCAAACGGTCGATCCCTGCATAGGATAGGTAGGGAGTCACTATACCCTTTGAACCTTCCCTCGTGAAGACATGTTTACTCTACTGGCTGTACGGTAGAACGCGATGTCTTTGAACCGACTGCCGTTTGTGTAGACGATGACATATCTCACACAGGAATCTCCCAACCATGCTCTTGCTCTCATGAGTGTGCCCGTTTTGGTCGTGGGTCACCGTTCTTGGTTCTGCGAGAGTTTCTAAAGAATTGTGCCCAACAATTCTCCTTTGAAGCGACCCTCACTTCTCTCTAACATAGGTGATTCTTTCTCGAGTATCCCGCATACTCAAGAATCATTAAAGCATTGACATGCTAGCCTCTTGCGGGAGTCACTGTTTTAACGAGGAGTGTTAGGGAGTCCGAGACCCCCACAGTGACGCGCTCCGTTCCATAATTTAGTTGTCCCATTGAACCTAGGTGCCAGCTAGGTTGGGTATCCACTATAGAACTTTTTAGTCCAAGGGGATTAGACCCATTCCTCATTTCAACTTCTCCACAACTTCTCTTCCTAACCCTTTGGTCAACGGATTCGCTATATTGTCTTTTGACTTTACGTAGTCAATCGAGACAACACCAGTTGTGAGCGGTTGTCTAATGGTATTATGTCTATGACGCACATGTCTAGACTTACCATTATACATAGGGAAAAGGGTCAAATAGGCCCTCAAACTTTTCATAAGGAGTCAATTAGGCCCTCCAACTTTCTAAAGTTGCAATTAGACACACGAACTCTTAATCTCGGTGCAAGAAGACCCACTGACCGGTTAACCACCTGCAATCTCAGGTAAAATGCTTTGTAGACGCTGACTAGGCAAAATCTTTACACATTTGGCTTGCCACTCAGCAAAAAAAAAAAAAAAAAGAAAAAAAAAGGAAACAAAATTGGGGGAAAAAAAAAACAAAATATTAAAAATATAAATAAGAAATACGCTTCTTCAAACGCGCAATAGCAAACCAATGGCACCAGATTTTCGTGCTTCACCTTTCCGAGATGGTTTCCGTTTCTGCAAAGAATTCGCGGTCTCCATGGATCTCCCGGCCTCCATAGCCTCTTGATAGCGATAATACGGCCCCCTGGAAATCTTCCTTTGTATGTTGTCCCCAAGCCGCCATTTCCAATGATATAGCTCCTGCTAAAGTTGTCAGTGCCGGTGACGATAGCTGCGTGCTTGAGTCTCATCTTCAAATGCGCACCAGATTTTCGTGCTTCACCTTTCCGAGAGTTTCCATTTCAGCAAAGAATTCGCGGTCTCCATGGATCTCCCAGCCTCCATAGAGCCTCTTGACAGCGATAACTCGGCCCCTTGGCAATCTTTCATTGTCTGTGGCAGAGACGATAGCTGCGTTCTTGAGTCTCAATAGAGTGTGTTCAAATGTTACGATGTTGATGCTAAGAGGCTCCTTTGTTTGAAGTTGATGATCATCAGTATAAGAAGTAGGGTGATCTGTTCTCTTAGCACTGTCAATACCTCTGTCTATAAGTAGAGCTTTTTATTTCCAAATTTTGAATGAAAGAATTGTGATTATCACAGCGAACACAAAGAGAGGTGTGGCAAGTAGGGGTGTGCGTCGGATAGGTTGGGACGAATCGATTTTTCGGAAGCACAACCCCTTCAGATTTCGGTTTAAAAATTTATAATCCTATCCGAGAAAAAAATATCCTAAACCCATCGGATTATCCTAATTTCAGGTTCGGTCGGGTATATCGGATTGTCGGATTAAATCGGATTTGAACATTTGATAATATTTGGATTAGATCAGATTTGTGTTATTCCACTGTGATGTATAGTGAAAATATGATTTTATATATGGAACATCCTGTTTTTTCTTAGCATATTCATCATATAAAACTACTATATAGGATGCATGTCTTAAAACTAATTTAACTGGCAATGGAATGAAAATAATTTCGGGTTCGGTCGGGTATATCGGATTGTCGGATTAAATCGGATTTGAACATTTGATAATATTTGGATTAGATCGGAGTTGTGTTATTCCACTGTGATGTATAATGACAGTATGATTTTATATATGGAACATCCTGTTTTTTTCTTAGCATGTTCATCATATAAAACTACTATATAGGATGCATGTCTTAAAACTAATTTAACTGGCAATGGAATGAAAATAATATGCAATGTGGTTTCTTGCCTCTCATCACAAAGGCAGCAATCATATTGAAAGAATATGACTTTGGTAAATATTTTTCCACAAAGAATCTGTCAATATAATATGAAAATGTATGAAGCATCTGCCAAAGTATAACACTTACAAAAGTTGTATCAAGAAGCCATTTTGCCAATCATAAAATTCCAATCTGCCAATCATAAAGCACAACCATACATTTTCATTCACATAGTTGCCAAATCAAAATTTTTGCCATTGTTTACATGTTGCCAACTGAGATTTTTTGCCATTGTTTACATATTGCCAAAGGCATAATTCAACACCTAAGTACATAAAACAGTCAAAAAAGATTCAAATGGCAATAGTACCAAAAAAGTTTGTTTGGCAAATAACAAAAAAGTTTATGATAGTTTGCTTGTCAGTCCATTGGTTCAACATCTTGTTGGCCACTCCTATTAGGGCATGTTCTTTTATAATGGCCCGGGTTCTTACAAAGAGAACAATGCATCTGTTTTCCCCTTTTCGATACCCTTGTCTTGACACTGCCCATGGTAGTAGTAGTAGTGGATGGCTTCTGACGAGTTGGGACTTCATTGGCCTCACGATTTCTTTTTCTTTTTGGTCTACCTGCCATCTTTTTTGGTATTGGAGCAAGTATCTCCTCAGATTGTGTCTTTGGCCAGAATAACTCTCCATTCATCGGCTGAAGTGTATGCGCATATGTCCTTAGGTAACTCTCTTTTGAATAGCAGGAATCAATGTATTCTTCTGGGTCCCTTCCAGTATCAAAGATTGCACAAATTGCATGTGGACATGGTATACCAGAAAGATCCCATGAGTTGCATGAGCAGCTTCTACCTGCAAGTTTCACTTTGAATTGTTGTCTTCCTTTCTTAATTTCATAACCGTCATCTCCATTGAAATCAACCTAGTATAATATAATAATCAAGTTAGAATATAATTAAAGAGTCATCTTTACTGGCGGTGGGCATTGCACAATATAATTAAAAGGAAGGCAATGAGACAGTAATGAAAGAGATAATGTAATTACCTTCCATACCATACTTTCACCTATGTTTGAAGTTAGTTTCTTCATTACCAAGGGTCCATAATTTCCTGTCCACCTTTCAACATCTTTCCTTTTTTTTGCAATCCTCTTCATCACCCCTATTCTTATGTCTTCCAACATAGGGATAATGGGCTTCACTCATGCTTTCACCAAAGTGCCATTAAAAGCCTCACTCAAATTGTTATCTACAGCATCACACTTAACAAATGTCCTAAAGAAAGCCTTGCACCACAACCTTGGAGGGTACCTTAACACACATTGACACATATAACTTAACACATAGATATCCTAAAATAATATATATATATATATATATATATATATATATATATATATGCAATACATTTATGAAACAGTTTACCTTTCTAAGTCAGCTTTTGCAGTACGGTCCATCTTTTCTAAAAACTTAAGTTGTTCCTGGAATTGAGATTCAGTTGTAGCCTTGGCACACATCCAAAAGTGTTTCTTCAACACTTTCCCTCGATGTAGCTTACTCCAATTAGCATGCACATGCCTTGCACAATTACGGTGCTCGGAGTCAGGAAACAACTCTTGAATCACATGTGTTAAACCCTACAAAAGATATAAAATAGAATATATTAGATAATTATTGAAGTAAAATGCATAAGTGGTATTTCAAGATAAATGGTATTTTATTATTGTTGTTTTACCTTTTGTTGATCACTGATTATTGTCCATGGATAAGTATTGGTGTTGCCCAAATCTGTTTTCAATAACCCTAGAAACCACCGCCAAGAATCAGTGTTCTCTATCTCTACGACTGCCCATGCTATTGGGTACATTTGGTTGTTAGAATTTCTACCAACTGCACTTAAGATTTCACCTTTCAAAAGTCCTTTTAGAAAGCACCCATCCAGCCCAATCACTTTCCTACACCCTTCTAAAAACCCTAATTTTAAAGCCCCAAAGTAAACATAAAATCGTTGAAACACACAAGGACTAGTAGGGGTAGTTATATTAGTTTTTACTTTTGCATTTGTTCCAGGATTTGAGTTCATACATTCAGCAGCATAATCCCGGATTCTGCGAAATTGATCCTGAAAACCAGCATTTATTTTCTTTAGTATGGCCCTCACTGCTCTTCTCACCATGCATATGCCCACATTGAGTTTCAATTCTGATTTGATGTGCTTTTTCAATTCTACTGGTCCAATAGTAGGGTTATCTCTTACCTTATCCTCATACCTATCTTCAATCCACTTTTGGTTCACAATTGCCAAGCTGTATTTTAGATTACATTTGTGTACTGCAGTTAGTGTTTTCAGCTGGAAGCATTTTAGACTTTCATCCCATGAACCAGTAGCTTGAAATGGGCATGACTTTACACATGCAACTGAAACTCTCTTTGGTTCATTTTTCACATAGTGAATGTTTCTCTTTGTGTAGACCGCATAATTTATCATCGCCTTCTTGAATTGATTCCCATCATCATATAGAGTTCCCAGTTCAAGCTCCATTAAAACATTAGGATTATATGAAGGGTTTCTGAATCTACTTGTTGCCTTCTTGGATTGCTAAAATGATGCTTCTTCATCCTCCTGTTCAGATTGATAACTTGGGGGGTCTTCAGAGTCATAATATTGACTCTCCACTTCTTCATTCATATTCCCACCTACATTTTCAGGTTCAATCTCTACCATTCTACCCTCTCTATTGTCCTCATCATCATTAGATGAGGCAGTATGACATTCTACATTCACAAAGTCATTATCTTCATCACTGTTTTCGATTTCTTCCCCTTCTAAATCATCACCCAATAACTACTCTTCATCATCTTCTTCCCCTACTAAATCATCACCCAAGAACTGCTCTTCGTCACCCAAGAATTGCTCTTCATCACCCTGTTTTTCAGTTCGAGCCTGTTCACTCTCTGGTTGTGTAACAACCCCAGGGTCATATTCAGCTTCTAATACAACATCATCTCGAACTACCTCATTTACAGGTACGGGTAATGCTAACTCTGGAACTACCTCTGCATCGTCTATACCATGCTCAACAAATAAATCAACTTGACCCCACAGACATGCAAAATGAATAAGGTCAAGTGTACTTCTGTCGTTATTGAGCATATGTAGATTCTCCATACGCTCATGAGGTAATTTATACGACAGAGATTAAATTTTACCATACTTGTCCTCTTTAATATATTTCAGCAAATGAGGATACGATAAATAATCCGGGTCCATAATAACCTCTTCAACCTCACCATTTACATAGTTCATAACAGGGTGTTGGACAAAACTACCACCATGATGAATTCTTATACGTATAGTGGAATGCATTCTAAAAAAGAAAAGAAAACAAACAAACAAACATTTCAATTTAAAATCAATAACCCTAAGTACATCAGAAAGAAAAATATATTATAGATTTAAGCAATACAAACACCTATATAAATTTAAGCAATACAAATCCCAAATTTAAAACCAACAATCCTAAGTATATCAGAAAGAAAAACCAATTCAAAATGCTTCTATTACAATACAATGTTAGTACTCTATAAATTTAACATACACTTAAAACAAACACTATGTGTAGGGGGACCACAACAAGTCAAAAAAATCTGCTGCCAAACATTAAAGAAAAATGCAGGACTACACCCATCCAAGTTTGTCTATATTATTAACTGCATTTTAAGGGACCCATATCACAAAGCAATCCAAATTCACACAAGTCAAAAAAAAAAAAAAAAAACCACTGCCAAGACTATTTAATATACAAATACCCATATCTATGCCTACAAATATACAAAACCCATATTTTTACCTTCAAATATACAAGGGATATGTTTATTACCTCTTTTCAGACTCGTTCGACTGCTCTCTGTCCGTGGATGAAGAAAAACTGACTGCTACAACCTCGTCTTCAAGTTCCAACTATTACAGAGTCGTCCGACTGCTCATTTACTGCCAATAGCTTCGTCTTCAAGCTCCAATCAACAATAATAGGCTTCGTCGAGTTGTTAGCCTGTGATATTCCTTAGTAAATTTCAATTCTAGGTGAATGAGGGTTGAGACTGAAGAGAGAATTGATTTTGATAGGGTCTTAGGGTTCTGGAGTTCGCTTCTGCTTTCCCAATTTCAATTTCCCCATTTCCCCTTTACTATACTTATTTCGTTTTTCTTATTTATATTTGTAATATTTTGTTTCTTTTTTTTTCCCCCCAATTTTGTTTCCTTTTTTTTTTTTTTTTTTTTTTTTTTTTTTTTTTTGCTTAGTGGCAAGCCAAATGTGTAAAGATTGTGCCTAGTCAGCATCTACAAAGCATTTTACCTGAGATTGCAGGTGGTTACCCGGTCAGTGGGTCTTCTTGCATTGAGATTAAGAGTTCGTGTGTCTAATTGCAACTTTAGAAAGTTGGAGGGCCTAATTGACTCCTTATGAAAAGTTTGAGGGCTTATTTGACCCTTTTCCCTTATACATATGACTCTGTACTCTCCCGATTGTGGCTTGACTATCGCAATGCACACATATTGGAGGTACCGGTCTTTCCCAATTAGGAATATCCTCTATAAAATGGCGTAGCCATTCAGCCTCTTCACAACCTTTGTCCAAGGCTATTAGCTCAGATTTCATCGTGGATCTAGCTATCACAGTTTGCTTAGAGGATTTCCACGCAACGGCTGCACTGGCTAGTGTAAACACGTAGCCACTCGTGGACTTAGAGTCCTTAATATCAGATATCCAATTCGCGTCGCTATACCCTTCAAGTACAGCGGGATATCTCCCGTAATGCAGTCCAAGATCACGAGTATACCTCAAGTATCTCATAACCTTTACTATTGCCTTCCAGTGCATAGCACCGGGGTTACTCGTATATCTACTGAGTTTACTAACCGCATAGGCAATATCTGGCCTAGTACAGCTCATAAGATACATCAAGCTACCAATAACCTGAGCATATTCCACTTGTGAAATACCTTCTCCGTGGTTCTTGGTTAGATGAATGTTTGTATCAAATGGTGTCCTAGCCACTTGACTATCATCCTTGTTAAATTTCTTAAGGATTTTGTCAATATAATGTGATTGGCTCAACACGAGACCATCAGGTCTTCTAAGGATTCTAATCCCGAGGATTAAATCAGCCAAACCCATATCCTTCATGTCAAATCTCGCATTTAACATGTTTTTAGTAGACTTGATCATCCGATCATTACTACCAACGATGAGAATATCATCGACATATAAACAAAGGATGACATAGCTGTCTATCGTTTCCTTAACGTAGACACATTTGTCACTTTCGTTTATTTTAAACCCGTTAGTTAACATCGCATGGTCAAACTTCTCATGCCACTGCTTAGGCGCTTGTTTTAAACCATACAGCGATTTAAACAATTTACACACTTTCCTTTCTTGGCCCGGAACCACGAACCCTTCGGGTTGTTCCATATAGATTTCCTCATCTAATTCGCCATTTAGGAAAGCGGTTTTCACATCCATTTGATGAACTTCCAAGTTCCGCAACGCGGCTATGGCAAGTATCATCCTAATGGAGTTTATTCTCGTCACGGGAGAATACGTGTCGAAGTAATCGAGGCCCTCGCGTTGCCTGTAACCCTTGATTACAAGCCTAGCCTTATACTTCTCGATGGAACCATCCGGTTTCATCTTCCTTTTAAAGACCCACTTGGATCCTAAGGGTTTACTACCCGGAGGAAGATCAACGAGTTCCCAAGTGTGATTCTGTAGGATAGAATCCACTTCACTTTTTATAGCCTCTTTCCACATTGGTTCTTCCGTAGAGGTCACAACTTCTACATACATTCGAGGCTCGTTTTCTATCAAACAAGATAGAAAATCAGGTTCATTTTCTAATAAACAAGTTAGAGTACCCGAATCATACTCTAACAAGTAAGTAAGAAAATCAGGACCGAATGATTTTCCAACTCTCGCCTGCTTACTGCGTCTCGGCTCGAGCTCGGGTTCTTTCTCAGATTCCCCACTATCATTATCCATAGTTTCGTCAAACGTTCGTTTTGACGTATTTGGTCCCTCGTTGGACCTACAAGGAAATATATTTTCGAAGAAATATGCATTCCTTGATTCTATTATCGTGTTCTCGTGTACGTCCGGATTATGGGACTCGTGTACTAGGAACCGATAAGCACTACTATTATGTGCATAGCCAATAAAGATACAGTCCATCGTCTTAGGACCTATCTTTACTTTCTTTGGTGTTGGCACCAAAACTTTGGCAAGACACCCCCACACTTTCAGGTACTGGTAGGAAGGTTTCCTACCGTTCCACAGCTCATAAGGAGTCTTATCGAGCTTCTTTCGGGGTATCTTATTCAAAAGGTAATTAATTGTCAAAATCGCCTCACCCCAGGCATCTTGAGGTAGGCCCGAACTTATAAGCATCGCATTCATCATATCTTTCAAAGTACGATTCTTTCGTTCGGCAACATCGTTCGATTGAGGTGAGTAAGGTGTCGTACGCTCGTGTATTATACCTACACTTGCACAGAAGTCACCAATAGGCGCTTCATACTCACCACCTCGATCGCTTCTAACCTTCTTAATTCTCCGATTAAGTTGGTTTTCCACTTCATTCTTATAAAGAACGAATTTATCAACGTCTTCATCTTTGCTCTTAAGCAAATACACCTAGCAGTATCGTGTGCTATCGTCGATAAATGTGATAAAATACTTATTACCACCCCTCATTTGTATCGATCTAAAATCGTACAAATCACTATGGATTAATTCTAGTGGTTCAGTTTCCCTTTCAACCGATTTGAAAGGTACTTTCGTTAGTTTTGCCTCAACACAAATTTTACACTTGTTATTTGTATCAATTTGAAAGTTAGGAATATGGTCCATGCTAATTAATCTACGCATAGAATTAAAATTAACATGACCTAGTCTACCATGCCATAAATTGAAAGACTCAAGCAAGTAAATAGAATTAACTTTGCTTTTATTGATAACAGGAATTACACTGAGCTTAAACAGCCCATCAATTACATATCCTTTACCAACAAACATCCCTAACTTGGACAAACTACTTTGTCTGACTCGAACACCATGCGAAAGCCATGCTTGTTCAACAGAGAGCCAGACACAAAATTCTTCCTCAGCTCAGGAACATACAGCACGTTGTTCAACGTCAGTTCCTTCCCGGAAGTCATCTTCAGAACCACCTTGCCCATGCCTTCCACAACAGACTGAGCAGAGTTTCCCATCCACACCCTTTTCACCCTCTACGGTCTCAAAGGTGTTGAACATCTCTCGGTTGCAACATAAGTGTCTGGTTGCACCGGTATCAATGAACCATTCACGAGGGTTTGAGCCCACGAGGTTCACCTCGGTCACCATAACCGAAAGGCTAATCTCGACCTCCCTCTGATTGCTATCTCCAACAATGTTGGCTTCAGAACTCTTGTTCTTCTTCCTTGGAGCCTTGCATTCAGATGCTCTGTGGCCATGCTTGCCACAATTGTACCATTCACCA